GAATAAATGTTAAAAAAATTTTAAAAACTTAATTGAAACCCCCAGGTCATTTATAATATAACTCAAACATACATAGCAAGATAAATGACAAGGGAATTCAAACGGTGCCTCAGAAAATATCTATTTAACACAAAAGAAGTCAGTAATGCAGGAACAGAGAGGGAAAAGAGGCATAACATTTAGAAAACAAATAGCAAATGGCAGATGTCAATCTCACCTCATCAATTATGGCATTAAGTGCAAATGGATGAGACACTCCAGTTAGAATCTTGCAGAATGGAGTTTTTAAAGAAGATGCAACTGTGCCGAGACACAGCTTAGATTGAAGGAACTAAAGAGATCAAAAAGGATGGAAAAAGATAAAGCCAAAGACAAGAGAACTTTGTATAGTGGTGGATGAGTCAGTCCCTCATGAGTCAACATCACAATTATAAGAGTATATAAGCCTAACAGGAGTCACAAAATATATGAAGTGAGAACTGAAACATTGCAGGGAGAAACCAATAATTCAACAAAAATAATGGAGGACTTCAATATTTACTAAGGAAACAGAAGATCTGAAGACACCGTGAACCAGTTAACCTCACAGACATTGAGGTTATATGGTCCTCAATACAAGGTCCCATGAGATGTTCTGCAGGGTCTTCTGAAATATCTGCAGAACAAGCCACATGGTACAAGAATCCAACCTCAGTGGTTTCAGAGGGTTGAAATCTCACCAAGTGTGCTCTCTGAAAAAGAAATAACAGGGGAAAACTTAGGAAACTCACAAAGATGGGAAGTGAACAACATGTTCCTAAATCAGTAATAGGTCAAAGAAGGGGCACCTGGGTGGCTCAGTCAGTTGAGCATCCGACTTTGGCTCAGGTCATGATCTCACGGCTCATGAATTTGAGCCCTGCATCAGGCTCTGTGCTGACAGTTCAGAGCCTGGCGCCTGCTTCTGATGCTGTGTCTCCCTCTCTCTGTACCCCTCCCCCACTCATGCTCTGTCTCTCTCTGTCTCAAAAATAAGTAAACATTAAAGAATTTTAAAAAATAGTAATAGGTCAAAGAAGAAATTGAAAGAGAAATTAGAAAATATTAGGTGAATGAAAATTAAGAACAAAGCAAACCAATATTTAGGGGATGTAGCTAAAGCAATGCTTAGAGGAGAATTTATAGTCATAAATGTCTATATTTAAAAAGAATGAAGAACTCAAATCAGTGAACTAATCTAGTTTAGGAAGGTAAAACTTCAAGACCTGAAGAGTCCCTCAAAGGGTACCCTATTTCCTTGGATCTGTTTTGAATATTTTAAGGTCTGTAGGATCTGTTCTTTCATTCCTTCTGTGTACTTGGGCTCCCATTGTCCTTCATTTTTAAAAATTTTTAAATGAAATTTTAAGTCATAAATTAAGACATTTGTCATTGTCTAAAATAAGCATTTGGACACAAATTTCTAAGTTATTCTTTCGCTGTGTCCCTCAAAACTTGATATATTGGTATTTTTTAAGTTTATTTTGAGAGAGAGGGTGAGAGAGAGAGAGTGCAAATGGAGAAGGGGAGAAAGAGACGGAGAAAGAATCTGAAGCAGGCTCTTCACTGCCAATGCAGAGCCTGGTGTGGGTGGTGAACTCACAAACCATGAGATCAGGATCTGAGCTGAGATCAAGGGTCAGATGCTTAACCAACTGAGCCAGCCAGGCGCCCCAGATATATTGGTATTTCTTTATGTTCATTGTGAAATATTTTATAATTTCTTCTTTGATTCTTTAATACAGAATTAAGTTTCTTTATTTTCAAATATTAGGAAATTTCCTAAATGGGTTATTGTTATAAATTTCCAATTTATTATTTTTTTAATTAAAAATTTTTTTTAATGTTTTATTTATTTCTAGGAGAGAGAGACAGTGTGAGCAGGGGAGGGTCAGAGAGAGAGGGAGTCACAGACTGAAACAGGCTCCAGGCTCCGAGCTGGCAGTCAGCACAGAGCCCGACGCGGGGCTCGAACTCACGAACCGCGAGATCATGACCTAAGCGAAAGTCGGATGCTTAACCGACTAAGCCACCCAGGCGCCCCTAGTTTTTTAAATTTTTATTAAAATTTTTTTTAATGTCTATTTATTTTTTGAGAGAGGGAGAGATAGAGTGTGTGCAGGGGAAGGGCAGAGAGAGAGGAAGACAGAATACAAACCAGGCTCCTTACTGCCAGCACAGAGCCCGATGTGGGACTTGAACTCCTGAACCGTGAGATAATGACCTGAGCTGAATCAAGAGTCGGACACTTAACTGACTGAACCACCCAGGTGTCACTGATATTTATCATTTCTGATGTATTTCATTCTCCTTGAAAATCAAGTTTCCTTCTTGTATTTCCCTTCGGCCTGAAGAATTTCCTTTAGGGAATCTCTGGTAGAGAAAAATTCTCTTCCTTTTTTTC